TATGTGTGTACAAATATAGTGCTTTGATTGATTTCGGTGAACTTTAACTACTCAGACCCCATTGCAACGAAGCTATTTCAAGTCCATAAAGTAAGCTTTTACATTTTATATAAATATTATATATTTATATTATTTATATATATTATATATTCATTTTTATTATATATCATACATTATATAGGTATATATGTATTATTATATATATATAATATATATATATTATATATATGTATTACAAATTATATATTATATAATGTATATTATAGCTATTATATTGTAAGTAACTTATAATTCTTTGTATATAACATATTGTGATAGTTATACATGTTTCCAATATATGTAACACATATGTAAATAATATAAAGATTTAAATACTTATTGTTAGCTATCAAGTGTAAAGATTGGTTTTATTAAATAATAAGCTATAAATGCACCCCAACCTAAAAGATCTACTGTGCACCTAAAGACCCAACTATAATAATTCTAGACTATTTATAAATCTCGTTATTGCTGTGGACTTAATTTTACCTATTTGAGTGGGTGCCCGCTTTCAAGGTAGTGGAGTCTACGTCTTACCGGCGCTAAGCAGTTGCATAGAATATTTTCTGCTCAACAGTAGTAAATTTCTACCGCAAGATGGATTAATAAATTAAAAAAAACAATAGAAGTTTTTTTATTTACCTTAATAGTAATATTAAGCAACATAATGGTACAGTAGACCAAAGTGAATCATATTGGCGAACCTTACCAAACCTCATATAATAGTATGATTGCGAAATATAAGTATACTGTTTCATAAAATTTATTTAAAAGAATATTATGCAGTAATGTTATTATCCGTGCAAATAGTTATTTATTTTTATAGGAATATCTGACGAATTTCATTCTTTCAGTTTCTTAGCCAAGTCTGCAATATGATGTTAATCTGCAAGTTATGCTCTGAATTCCTATTTTACTCAAATGGATCATTCATCCATTTTAAAGCATAAAGTTCTTTTGCAAATTTTCCTTTGCAATTTCATGTATTTTAATTGTATTTTATAACCAAAAAATTATATTATTGTTTAAATTTAAAAATAATTTCATTCAGATTAAAGCAATTTTGTATAATTTCACCATTAAAAGCAAACGACTTTCACAGGATAAAAGTTTTTAAATTTTATTTTCCTGTATCTTTGCCGCCTGGTAATGTGGACGCGGAAGTGGCCATAACTCAACAAAAGGATATACCAACAATGGCACAATAGTATATGCAATATATATTTGTCAGTAACAAAGTCATAATTTATATTTGATTTTTTCTCCAGTATCCTTTTTTTTCAACAAGAATGATATATGTTGCAATAATTCATTATTAATGCGCTAACGATGTATTCAATTTGTTCCTGCCATTTATCAATAAAATTAAACAAATATTGTCAGTAGAGTTATAATTTAACGATTAAATTTCTATAGTGACGAGATATAAAAAGTCTGTTCTTTTGATTAACATCAAAGGATATATCAATTTTAATTAAAATTTAAAAAAAACGCTGTTGACACTAATAGTAAAATAATGTAAGAGATTATTAGCTTTTGTAACAGAAGCGTTTCTGTATGCAGGTAGTTAAATTTTAATTGAAAAATTTTGCTCTTCCTGTAAAATAATTATTAACGTTTTTCACATTTTTCACATTTTTCACATTCTAATAAGCTTTATTAAAAAAATTTTATTTATTTTGGATTAAAGTACACAAAGAACTGCATAAAAAATCTGCAAAAAATCACAGCAATATTTTATAATTTTTTTTGAATAAGTTTTTTATAGATTGCCTGTAATTCCAAAAAAAAAACTAAAATAAAAAGATTAATACTGAACTCAAATATATTATGAAATACGAAAATTAATGTTGTGTATATCTAAAGGTAAAAAATATTCAATGTGATCCTTTAAAGGTTCAACAATGCATGTAAAATTGGTTTGGGTCTTCTCATTTTATGTCAATAAATTAAATCACAATTTTTGTATAAAAAAGATTTTGCTCATAAATTGGCATTCTTTGCTAATTATATGAAAAAAATTATTTATAGTTTATAAATTTCAGCTATGAATATAAAGGCAGTGCTTTAGATAAAACAGTTTCAAAATTAATTTTAAATTATTATTTAAAAAAATTCAAAATTTTCATAAAACTATATACATCATCTCATTTCATATTGTTTTCATGTTATCTCGCATTATGCATGTATATATAATGTAGATATCTGGGAGCTAGAGAACAATTTGCCTCCAATCTCGAATTTCTAATAATTTTCTTTAAATTTCCTTTGAAGTCTTTTATCTCTGTATAAAGAGCCATCTTTGTCTTAGAACGATTGAGTGTACTTGCAAATTGTTCTTTCTGGTTTTATATCCAATTCTCTTCAATTTCTGGAATTGAACATATCTTTAGCTAGGGTCTATTAACCTTGCTAATAAATAAAACTCTCAAAATTTATGATGTTAATAATCTTTTAATCAAACTTTTTACACGAGAGAAAAATGGAAACGTTTTCCACAATCCCAAAACAGAAACTTGAAAATATTTAAAATTGAATTTTCCTTTTTAAATTCAATAAAAGCATAGCCTACTGGGTCGCCACAGTACCCCCCTCCTAGCGACGGAGTACGGGCGACGACGCGCTACACATGAAGAGAAGTTACTCGCGGTAGTCACACAACTTCGCTGGGAAATGCACTGTTCGGCCAGAACGCGAAACCTTTGAAGAAACGGCCGACAGTTTAAGAACCTTCTTCTCGGATGCTTGTTTCCGCTCATGATTGACTAAAGGAAGTGGCGAAAACTGCTTGCCGGTAAGTTCATCGTTAGTCAAATAAGCTGGTTTTAATCTGTCTAACGAGACGGTGCACCTGCTCCCTCTTCTGTTAATAACGAAATATTTTTCATCTCGTTGAAGAACTTGAAACGGACCTTCATACGGCTGTTCCAATGGAGCTCTCACCCGATCAACACGCACGAACACAAACTTGCTGGTTAGGAGGTCATTCGGAACATAGACTGGGTGATGCCCGTGTCTGCTGCCGTTGATTGTCTTCAGTTGAGCCAATGCATTACGAAGTGATGAAACGAAATCGGTTTCACCTGGCTTTTGGCATTTCTGTGACAACAGCTGTCCTGGAACACGTAACGGGTTTCCGTACAACATTTCAGCAGAACTGACGCCTAGATCTTCCTTTGGGGAAGTCCGTAACCCCAGCAGAATCAATGGGAGTGTGCGCGTCCAGTCATTAGAATTATGGCATCGCAAAGCAGCCTTCAACGTCCTATGCATACGTTCAACCATCCCATTCGCTTGGGGGTGATATGCTGTGGTGTGAATATGCTTGATACCCAATAGTCTGGACAACTCTCGGAAGATCGTTGATTCAAACTGACGTCCTAAATCAGTCGTGATAATATGAGGAACACCATACTGTGCTACCCATCCTTCGATAAACGCGCCAGCAATGACTTCGGTCGTCATGTCTGAAACAGGAATCACCACGGGCCATCGTGAAAAACGATCGATGCACGTCACACAGTATCTTTTACCCTGCGACAGTGGTAGTGGTCCGATGATGTCCATATGCACATGTTGGAAACGCTCGTCTACACCTGCGAAACAGCCTATAGGTGACTTGGTGTGCCGGTTAACTTTAGACAACTGGCATGCGATACAATTCTTAACAAACTCAGCTGCATCCTTTGCTAAACCTGGCCAGACAAAACCTGCTTGGATCAGTCTGCGTGTCGCTCTTACGCCTGGGTGCGCTAAGTTGTGTAGTTTTGTCATCACTAACTTACGACAACTGGCTGGAACAAACGGTCGCATAACACCTTTAGAAATGTCGCAAAAAACCTCAGTATTACTGATGGGTAACTTGTACGCCACGAGCTTCAAAGATGTATCGGCTTGATGATCCAGTAACGCGCGCAACTCGTCATCTAATCCTTGCGCTTTAGCAATCACGTCTACTTCCGCTGCCTCAAATTCAATTTGAGCAATACGCGAAAGTGTATCGGCCACGCAATTATCTGCACCAGCTATATTACGTAAACCAAATGTCATGCAACGGAACTCGAATAACCCAAAAGGAGTAGTAATCGCTGTTTTCGGTATATCGCATTCTGCCATTGGAATCTGGTGATATGCCTTCTGTAAATCAACCTTAGAAAATAAGTTCTTTCCATGAAGGATGGTTGTTACATCGTGCAGGAAAGGGATCGGGTACCGGTCCGGCTTCGTTTTCGCATTCAACATACGATAGTCACCACATGGTCGCCACGAGCCATCACTCTTCTTAACCATATGCAATGGGCTCGCCCAAGGACTCTTTGACGGCTGACAAATGCCTTTTCGCAACAAAAATTCAAACTCCTTCTTTGCTTCCTCCAATTTTGTTCCAGACAAACGTCGTGGACGGGCAAAAACTGGAGCACCAGTGGTCTCGATGAAATGTTCAACTTGCGTGTCGCACGTGCGGGAGTTATCACGCAATGTGGCTAGATCACGGTATTCAATCAGCAAAGAACTGTAGTCACCTGCACTAATGTTGGCTCGGATGCCGTTCACCTGCCCAACTGCTGCCGCGCCTCTCGCTGCTACCAACGTCTTGCTGTCTACTAGCTGCTTCCGTTTCATGTCAACCAGTAAATCATAATGCCTCAAGAAATCTGCGCCGACTATGGGAAAATTTACATCCGCCACCACAAACGTCCATGGGAAATCGCGCCTTAAACCAAGGGATAACGACAAACGTTTGGTGCCGTATGCGCGTATCGGCGTGCCATTAGCAGCAAATAAGCTGGGTAAAGATAAAGCAACTGACTTACCTCGTTTGGTACCGAATTTTTTGGGTAGTACAGACAGATCCGCTCCGGTGTCAATAAGAAAAGCGGTTGACGTCGCCGGATCTTGTACTGTCAGTCGAGCTATAATTGCGTTGCTCTCCAATCGGCTCGACGTCGATTGCGGCATGCTTAGTTTTTTGACTTTGAATTAGATGTAAACGTGCATGGCTGACGGCATCTGCGTGCTTGCTCTCCAAACCTACTGTGAAACCAGCACCAACCAGAGTGGTTTGAGGACTGCGATAGCGTTCGACTCTTTCTGCGTGAGGATTGTCGCATTCTCGACGGCTGGCGTCCAACAAAATCCAATCTGCTCAATCGCTGCTCAATCTGATCCAAACGCTGGCACAACCTGGCTGTCTCGTTCGAATCGTTACTTACACGAGATGACACTGCAGCTAATTGATGGTAATCGCCCGCTTCACAAATCCTATCAGCCAGTTTAGCCAATTCTACCAGGTCAACATTTGATGTCTGCAAAATGGCACGTACCTGCGGAGGCAGACGCTGGAGCCAAAGTGACTTCAGGAATTCGCTACTGACTTTATCCTTCGCTAGCGCTGTCAGCTCATTTAATAACTGCGATGGTCGACGATCTCCTAATTCGACCTCAGAAAGGAGCCTCTGAATCTTGCGTTGTTCACTTTCACCAAACCGCTCTAAAATCTGGTTCTTAAAATTACTGTATTTACCAGTTGCCGGAGGATGTAAAACGGCATCGGCTACATCAGCAACAACGTTGGACTCGATCGCTGCAACGACAGTGTGGAATTTCGTAGCGTCATTAGTTATATCGGCGACTGCAAACTGCACCTCAATTTGCGCGAACCAAATTTCTGGTCTTTCGTGCCAAAATGGCGGTACCTTGACGGACACACGATTCAGATTACCTTCCCGTAATTCGTTCTCTCGTTGCACCGCTGCGGCTTCGTTGCTCGTTGGCAAAGACATGCTGTTTGAAAGTGTTGCTCGCAATAATATATTTCAATTAATTTTGAAAAACGTAACCGTTCGTTCAGATCACGTCGGGGTCACCAATTTGGCTAGGGTCTATTAACCTTGCTAATAAATAAAACTCTCAAAATTTATGATGTTAATAATCTTTTAATCAAACTTTTTACACGAGAGAAAAATGGAAACGTTTTCCACAATCCCAAAACAGAAACTTGAAAATATTTAAAATTGAATTTTCCTTTTTAAATTCAATAAAAGCATAGCCTACTGGGTCGCCACATATCTAACAATGTTTCAACTGCCCGACAGATTTCGTAGTTATCGCTCCCATGGAAAAAGATATAATATTTGTATAAAAAGTATTGTCTAATATTGTCGAAAAAAGGAATGTTTGTGGGCAGAAAATACTTCATGGTGATCAAAAAAACTTACAAAAAAAATGATGAACGTATACCTTATGATATATGAAAATTTCATCTAAGATAATTAAGACAGAAAGTATTGAAACCATCAGAAAATGAATACTTCTAAATGATATTCAATAGATAACGACTATTCCATTTAATATCACCAGCTCATATTGTGATTTGGTATGCTTATTTATTATTATAAGGGACAATGGTAGACTGCAAACTACAAGATCTATTGTGTATTGTATCTATTGTGTACTGATCTAGGGGAAAGTATCTTAAGTTAATATTATTATTATTTCCTTAGTATATTTACAATCTATTTATCTACAATACATTGGGTAAAGACACCGCTCTTAGTAAGAACATAGGACGAAAACTTAAATTAACTTGGGCAAATTAATGCTGCTGCTACCTTATAATGTTTTAAATTCCAGACATCATTCAATTTATAGATAATCAATTGTATGACACAAACGGATAAGTTGAGTCTAAATTACACTTTGCATTTGCATTTCTAGGTGTTTATGTCTTTTAGTTCCAAAAAAAACATAAAAATCATGAGTCTTTTCCGAGTTAGTGCATCTAGGCACTTTTACTCTTTGATAGCTGGGGGGTTTCTGCAGAGTCCAACCTATCTCACTGACTAATTTGTGTATTCCTCAAATTATGGTAATTATGGTAATGAAATATCATTGCTTCTAATTTCATTTCTTGCTTTTACCAACAAACTTTAAACTTATAATCACACCAGCATTATTTAGAACTCATCAATTCTTCATTAAATTCAAATAATAAAATCAATTTCCATAAAAAATAAAACAATAAATTCAAAACTCAACTGATGAATAGTTATATAGAAGTACCAACACAAACATTAACAATAAAATACTCGTAGAACATAATTAAAAATCAGTTTACTTAACTGAATAGTCTCTCCAAATAGGACTACGTTTGATTCCCATATGAGTATTTAAAAATCGAAAAACTAAGTCAAAAATACGACACATACAAAACAAACTATTAGTATTAGTACTATGTTATAAAAAGCCCCAAATCGTTGGACTACTAAGAAGAGGAATAAGTAAAGTATCATAAAACGTAGTAGATACATAGTAGTATCATAATAGATACATACATCAGTTGCAGTTTAATTACAAACGGAGATACAATATTGGACTTTCATGCTTAGTGCACAATGCACAAAAATGAAATTTCCTTGTCAATATTTTATACATCAAACTGCAGCCCATACACGACCAGGATGGATTATGAACGTTAACACAGAACATTCTCTACATGGACATGCAAGCAAATATGCTAGGACATACACAATCATGTCAAGCGAATATGCACAGAGTTGCATTATGAAAACTTCATATGACTTATCATTTTATGCGTACAGTACGCACAAAAAACAACGACTGAAAACGTCGGCATAGCCAACCAACAAAGAATGGAAGTGTCAATAAGGATCAACGGAAATTTCATATGCTGCGAGGTGGACTTGTTTGTGCAGTTAATGCCTTTGAATGTTGCTGTTTCATGGTTTGTTGATTTCATTAACATGTCATTTATTTTGGTCATTGATGCGTTGTGGCTTGAACGCATGAGCTCGAGATGGAGCAAAACCAAACCAGAATATTTTAATAAAGTATAGTAAACATACTTTAACACTTGATAATTATAATAATTAACAAAATATTGTAATTAAAAAATATGAAATTTATTGATATATAATTGACTGCTACTTAATAACACTTTATTTTGTTGATTTCACTAAATGCAGCCTATAAAAACCTATACGCACCACATGTATAATTGAGTTATATTGATTTTAATATTATTAAGTATTATGGTTCTTCCAAGGGTGTAGAAATATAATCTTTTAAGCAGATGATGTAAAGTATTTTAACGAAAGATGAAGAATTATTATAAGCTTCAAAATAGGTCACTGCCCTAATGCAAGTTTTGATTTTAAAGTTATATTTATATAATGCTACTTAATGTAGATTTTACTAAATTCAACCTATAAAACCATTTACGGAACACCGCATAGCTGAGTTATATCGATTACAATGTAATAAAGTATATAGTTCTTTCAAGAGAAACTTCTGAGCATATGAGACAAAATAATTTAACGGCAGATGAAGCCTTATTATTAGTTCAAATAAAGATTTGTGCACTAAGCCAGGGCTGTTCAGACCAGTAGCGATCGCGAGGCAATAGAAATCACTGTACAGATTGAAGAGCCGCAGAAACAAATATAGACGCTCAGAATTGTTTTAGAGAAAAATAAAAATACCGTTAATAATGTTAAATTTAGTTTTATTAATTTAAATTCATTTATTTAGTACACCATTAAAAATAATATAATGTAGTTTAACCAGAACACCAAAAGAAAATTTGCGTAGATGAAAAAAATATCGCGGGCCGCATGTAGCCCTCGGGTCGTACTTTGGACAGCCCTGTTTTAAGCTATTTTGTTGTGAATTGAAGTCATTACATTTATATATATATAAATTAATGTTATTACAAATATTACATTTTCGCGGTTCTGTACTTATATATTTTACAAAAAAGCAATGTTGCGAATAAAAGCTCCAAATTTTATGTTAATAACATTTAAAACCACCAAAAATTGGTTAAAGTTATGAGAATTGTAGCAAATAATTCAAAGTCACTAAGTAACTGCAATGTTTTATTGAAAGAAGCAGAAACAAAAATATTTTGTAAAATTATTGTACCACTCTACCAACACTAAAACCGCCGCAAGCATAGAAAATTGAAAATAGCTTGTTTGGCAGAGCCTCACCCAGAAATGCACCTACGCCTCGTAAAAGCAACATATTGGCTTTTATAAATTTTACCAATTTTACAAACGAGGACAACACACGCGACCAGCTCCATAAATTTTCATTGGCAGTGCAGCCAGCCACAAACGTCAACACATGTACCAACAATTCAAACGACAAGCCCAACACTGGCTATGGAGCCTACGTTGGTACGTTGTACCAACATTTTCGCAAAGGGGTAGCACGAATTGTATGAACGCCAAAAAGTGGACAAATAAAAATAAGTTTGCATGTCGAACATTGAGTAGCTGGCGTTTGTATGTAAATTGGCTCCAATTTCATTTGAGTATTTCAATTTAAATTCGCTCAGTTGTAATAAAAACGACATGAATACCATTAAATTTACACACACATTTATTTGTGGGCAAAAAATCATTTTTACGGCTAAAATGTTTGATGCAATTGCAAGTGGCTGGCACCATTGAAGGGTGCTGAAGCTTAAATTAATTGGAGCAAGAGTTCAATGAATATTCATATGAGTTCGCTCAATTAAACAAGGCTTAAACCAGCACCATTCATTGCATGAGCAACTTTTTTGTCATAATTTAATAAAGCCACTTTTACCATAAATTTGAAAATTAAATTCGCTGAGATCGGTTTATAAACGTGAGATACGATATGATATGGAATATAATTAACTGTTAGTGGTTTTATATTTTTATTTTATAGTGGCAAAGCACTACATAAAAATATAATTTAAAATTTAAAAATTTTATTTTGAAATCTTTGCATTTTATAAACAGATATGAATAATATAAATATGAAATAATTCAAAATAGAATTTAAAATATTTTATACTGGAATATATTTCAGATAATACAGATTTGCTAAATTAATGCAAATAAAGAAATATAAACAACTAAAAGTACACTTCTATATTGATGTTTAGAAGCGTTTAGCAAAACTTTAAACACTACTATTCGCCAGCTAGAAATTGTATAAAGCCAGGCTCTGAGAAAACTTTTTAAGGTATCATAGTACATTAGGACGCATGACATCCTCAGGGACCTCAAGATTGATCCGATCAAAAAATACATAAAGGATAGAGCCCTGAATTTATTTACGAAAACTGACAGACTTACCAACACCGCGTTATTGAATCTCAAAATAGTTACAGGTTTCTCGGGGAGGTATGCAGACCTGAGTTCAATTATTGCTTAGTCTGCTAAAGTGATAAACAATAACCCAGTCAAGGCGTAAAGAGGGGTTATGAAGATACCATGCAGTTAATAGAGGGTAAAAGTACTCAAGTGCACTGGCTCAACCAGCTTCAACGTAATTAATTAAAAATACGATATATGGCTATAACAAATAAATTTAGATGCATTATAACAAACGCTTAAAATCCTCACACATAGCATTTATACATATATATATATATTGTGGGACGTTGGGACAGCGCAACGTTGAACAAGTGGCCACACAGAAGTGAAGCATTAGCCGAAGTAAACCACGAAACGACTTGGGTCCTTTTTTGTCCTATGATTCTCTGATGTCGTTAAAGCTAGTGGCTTCCGTTCGCATAAATACATCGCTTGTTAATGCAAGCAGCTCATTTAGCTTGAGGTTGCCTGCCAAGTCATCAGCAACCCAATGGTTCTCAAGACAGTCTTTCTCCTACTTGCCAGTGCTGGACATTTTCTTCTAGACATAGTCTGCAAGTGTCTTCTTCAGCAAGAGTTATCTTTTTGAGGTAATACTTGAAGTTTCCATGTCCAGTAATCATGGAAAA